ATCACCGTCACCAGCAGCAAGCCATGCCCCAGCCCGCCAACGGCCGGCTCCACGATGAGCACACCCCGCTCATCGGGCGCACCCAGAATTATGAAGACGAGTCGCGCGTCAAGACTATGCCCAAGCATGTCTTGCATTTGATCTATGCGACACTCGCCAGCAACTACGTCAACGTCTTCCTCGTCTTCGTGCCGCTCGGCATCATCGCCGGCGCATTGCACTGGAACCCTACCGTCGTCTTCGTCCTCAACTTCATCGCTATTATCCCTCTTGCTGCCCTCCTGAGTTTCGCGACTGAGGAGCTTTCCGCTAAGCTTGGCCAAACCCTTGGTGGTTTGATGAATGCGACATTTGGAAATGCCGTCGAACTCATCGTAAGCTTCCGCGCGCATCCATTGCGCTGCAACATTGGCTAACCGCAACAGGTCTCTATCGTTGCGCTCAAGCAGGGCGAAATCCGAATTGTCCAAGCCAGCATGCTGGGCAGTATTCTGTCCAACATTCTTCTTGTGAATCAAGCTACTCCATTACTCATATTTCAGCGCTGACTGTGACCAGGTGCTCGGATGCTGCTTCCTCGCCGCGGGCCTGACTCAACACGAGAGCCGATTCAACGAGACCGTCGCATCCACCATGTCATCGCTCATGGCCGTCGCATCCGCCTCGCTCATCATCCCCGCCACCCTCTACGCTGTCATGCACGGTGACAACAAGAAGGACAACCTCGAGACTGACAAGAACATCCTGGTCCTCTCCCACGGCACCGCCATCATCCTACTCATCCTCTACATCCTATACCTCTACTTCCAGCTATACTCCCACCACAGCCTCTTCGCTGATGTCGAGAACCAAGAGGGAGGCGGTGAGGAGGAGGAAGCCCAGATCTTGTCGCCCGTTGCTGCCGGTGTTGCCCTTGTCATCGTTACCGTCCTTGTCGCCATTTGCGCCGAGTTCCTCGTTGATAGTATCGACTCGATTGTGGAATCCGCACACATCAGCAAAACGTTCGTCGGTTTGGTCCTGATCCCGATTGTCGGAAACGCCGCCGAGCACGTCACCGCCGTCATCGTCGCATACAAGGGCAAGATGGACCTCGCTATCAACGTCGCTATCGGATCCTCCATGCAGATCGCTCTCTTCGTCACCCCCTTCCTTGTCATCCTCGGCTGGATCATGGGACAGCCCATGACTCTCCACTTCCAGGGCTTCGAGACAATGATCTTCTTCATCTCCGTCTTGATCGTCAATTACCTGATCCAGGACGGAAAGAGCAACTACCTCGAGGGCGCCATGTGCATTGGCATCTACGCCATAATCGCACTTGCGTTCTACATCTACCCCGACAACGCAGCCGGCGACATCACCGTCGACGTTGTCAAGCGCTTCTTCGCTGCCACCTAGACGGTTGAAACCTTCTAGCTGCAAATCGATTCGCGTTCGCTGAGCGGCGCGATGAAACCCATTTCCTTTGTACAATCTATGTTCTGCTCTAATATATCTTGGCACAAGACTACAGAACGGAAGGGCCTCTTTGTTTTCCTATTTGCTACTGCATTTCCTTGGTTCCTTAGTCTCCTTGTACGAGTATCTGTGGGGCGGTGCAGCTGTTCTTGGCGTTTTATCTACTTGTGGCAGTGCATCGGAACGATCGGCTGCCGAAAAGTGGAGTGTGGCTTGACGATCGAATGTGGTCTGAGCTTGGCAGGGACCTCATGTTGGTAAGGTGGAGGGAAGTGAAGGATTTGTATATGTAGGATTGAATGAACTGTCAAAAAATATTCATATGTTCTTCTCGTTGTGGATACTCACATGCTCAGGACAAGCTATTCAAACAACACCCCAACCCTCCTACCCGATCACCAACCCCATCTCACCACCCCTCACCGACCCGCTTTAGCAAACTCCCCCCAAGCCGCCGCCCAAACAAGATACCACGTCCTACTCGCCCCACCATCAATCCACCTCTCATCCCAAAACCCATCAATCCCATCTCTGAAGAAGCTATAACTCGCCCTCGGATCAATCAAAGCAAGATTCGCATACAAAATCCCGCGCCACCCTCCTTCTACATTCGCCCGCCCTTCCGTGAAGAACGTATCCCATTCCTCTCTTACAAACCCCCGGGGCCGGATCAGCGAGGTGCACGGCGAAATGGGCACGATGTGGATGCCGTGGATGAGGGAGGTTTCGAGACCGAAGTACGCTGGAGAGTGTTAGTACGAGTGGGTTAGACGGGAAGGCGGATGGGGGTTCTTGATGTGTATGTATGTGTATGTGTGGGTGTGGGTGTGATGATGGGCCTTACAGCAACAGCAAAAGGTACTATGACGGGCATACGTACTCGCGTGATCGATTTTATTCTCAAACAGGATGCCTGCGACTTTGTTCTGCGTGTAGCGGTTTGGGTGGTTTGTGTTGTTGGAGCGGATGTACATGTAGGAATTGAAGCAGCGGGCTTGGATGGCGAGTTGGAGGTTTCCTGTTACCTATTGTCAGTCCACTCTTCACATCTCAACCCAACCCGTAGTCAATCTGGCAGATGGTAAGATGATAGGAGGAGATGCATACCCCTCTTCTCCATATTCGCATCCCCACTAACCCTCCCCCACATCTTAACCGCATAGCAAGAAAACGCATCTTCCCCCGTACTCTCCATATCCTTCCCATCCGCACTCTCAAACAAGCCCTTCGCCCAACTATGTCCATGCCACCAGTCAAACGCGCGTTGAAAAGGATAGTCCCGGCCGTTGTAATCACTCTCCGCATAGTCCTTCACCAGCATATTCGTCCACGCCCTGTTATCCCCTTGGCTCAACCACTCGGGATCCAAATACCCAATCACAGCGGCCGTGTAGACAAAGTATGCGTAGTGGAAGTGATGGTCGTTGTAATACGTATTCCCGAAATCGGTATTCGGATCCGTGAAGCCAGCGGCGGAGACGACGCCTTTCCAGCTGTCGTCGTAGTAAAGCGGATTACGCTGTTGGTTTTCAACATAGCGCGCGAATTCTTGTTTTAGCTTGTCTAGGCCAGCGTTGGCGATGGCTTCGTGGTTCAACACGTCTTTGATGACCCAGACGATGGTTGCGAATTTCGAGAGCGCTTTGCCGGCGAAGTACATGGAGTCTTGTGGTATGCGTTCGGTCATTGCGCGGCGGAGGTCGCGTTCTGCGACGGCGGCGATGAAGGCGAGGACTTCGGGGGGATAACGCACTTTGGCGTTTGCGCTCATGGTGGGGTTCCAGGGGCCGAAGTGCATGGTTAGCGGGATGGCGGGTTCGATGAAGGTCAGCTTTTCGGCCCAGATGGCTGTTGCTATGCCTTTGGTTGTGGTGCGGAGGCGCAGGTTGGTTATTTGGTTTCGCATCTCGGGGTCGAGCGATTGGATGTGGTGCGGTAGGGCGAACATGAGCAGTGGTGAGTGGCCGATCTTTATGTAGCGGAATGTGTAGATGCCTTTGCCGTCTGGTACTACGGCGGTGAGTCTGGCTTCGCATACGAAGGCTCCGCAGGCTCGGTCGTACATGGCTTCTCCTTCTGCGCCGAGTGGGTTCTTTGCCACTTGGATGGTGCCTTTGAAGGCTGGCGGGCCGACGAGTGTGTTTGCATTGATTCTGGCGAACTTCGTGGCGTCGTAGTCGAGGCTCGCTACTGGATTGATGTACATGGCCCAACACGCTCCGTCCTTGTCTTTCAGACGATACTTGACTGTACGGCCCATGATGATCGGTCCCACCACGTCTACGAAGCCGCGACCGCCAGTCTGTATCATGGGCGTTGCATCTCGATAGCCAGCTGTGACGAAGCTCATGCCTTGAACGACAGGGAAGATAATTTTAGGTTCTTTAGGCGTTGAATGCGCGTTGAGGTTGATGTTGACGGAGAAAGGGAGATGAGTGTCTGTGGTAAGGGTTGTCCGAGCATCGAGTTCGACGGCACTGAGAACAAGGTGCTGTTTGTGTAGCGGATTGATGTAGCCCTTCGCAGGATGCCCTGGCTCGAAGACCAAATCCTTCTCCTCAATATGGCTCACGCACATGCCCCATGTTTGTACCGTCCCCACATCCGATGCCGACTTGCCCCACCATATCGAGTAGGGATGTGTCCAAATAGGCTGGTTCTGCTGACCCAGAAATGCATTGGCGTAGAATTTGTTCGTGTGCAGAGTCGTCTTGTCGTCATCCTCCACCCCCGTTCTAGGGACTGGGTGATGCCGGCCGATCGGTATCTGCGGAAGAATGCTGTCTTGTTGTATAGGCGTGAAGATGTTATCGGGAGGTATCTCGTCTGGAACAGTCGAGCCGTTGTAGCCTAGCGAGGTCTTGATGCCTTTACGTGTCTCGCGCAATGTTCCGAACCAACTATCCTTCTTGCTGGATTTCGAAGACTTCGAAACCGGTCGGGGATCGCCGACGCGGGATTGCGATGGTCCCATCGACGCTATCGTAGGGTCTGGAAAGGGAGCTACTTGAGCCGAATGCTCGATGGGAATTGCGTGTCAGTCTTCTCCGTGTATGCTCGTAGGCGTGATAGTGATCGTATATCGATACAGTTGATAGACAAGTAGGTGGGTAGCGGTGATATCGGTTTAGGTTGTAGGATGCGGTCTGCAGACTGCGAATGATCCATTGCCTGGTGTTACTGTCGCGATGGGCGCAGTAAGGGTTGGGAAGTGACGCCTGGCCAGTTTGCTCAATACCACGAGGTTTGCGCATTTGCGCGGTCAAACGGTCGCACCACAGCGGCATCCCGAAGGCATGCACGATGTATCAATGAGTAAAAAGAAGAAAGATAAGGGGAAAATGACGTGCAGTGGCGGATCGTAACATGTGACTCTGTAAGGAAAGGTGGAAGGGGGAGGAAGTCACAGTGTAAGTGGAAGGAGGAGCTTTTCCACGTGGCTTGCAGAAGTGACTGCCAGCACATGACAGATAAGTAAGATTGAAGAACTGATACGCTTCCATTGCAAGGCAAGCGAACCTTTGCCTAATACCGTCCGCCTATACCAGCGGTTTCCGCAGTGGCGCAATAACGCCCTGTTTAACAATAACCCTCGGTCTCGTAACGTCTTGATGCGTCTTCTTAGTGACCCACTCCTTGCCCTTGGGCACGCGCAAACTCCTCTCATACTGTTCCCTGTTCTCGAATGGGAACGGCAGCTGGCTAGCCATGTACTTGACGTTAGGCTTCTGCCTCTTCTCATTGATAATGACCTTGTCCATTTTCCTGTCCTTTCGCCTGTCGGCATCGATGCCGGGCTTCTTGGTGACTGTTTTGGCGCCGAGATTACGCTTCTTTTCGGCCTTGGACATGCCGTCGCCGGTCCAGGAGCCCCATCCGGGGAGGATAGAAACTTCTTCGGTTGCTTCTTCGTCTGCGATGGTGGCTTTCTTTTCGGCGTCGAAGTCGGCTTCGACGTCATCACCGGCGAAGCCCTTCGCTGTGAGAGCTTGGTTGCGCATGACAACGTCAAGATCGATACCTTCGTCTTCGATGCTTTGCTCGTCCATGTCCTCGTCTTGGCCACCAATGACAGTCGCCCAACCATCGTCATCGGCCGTGGTGACGCGTTGCTTCAAGAAATCGTCGACCTTGGTCTCTTGAGGTTTGGCCGCTTGCTTCGACTTCTTTTGAGGCTTGACTTTGGGCGTAGGCTTAGAAGCGCCGGCCTTAGCTTGCGTAGCGGTGGTCGTGCTACTTGTAGCTTGGAAGAGCTCAGGCTCTGTTGTGGCCTTCTTCTCCTTCTTGGCCTTGGTCAAGAAAGGGTTGGACTCTCCGCTGCCGTTCTCTACAGGCGCGACAGCCTTGCGCTCTTTGCGGGCACCATTCGAGAGACCGCTCAAGCCGTTCTTTTTGGCGGGCTTTCTAGCTGATGCTGCGTCAGCAACAGACCCTTCGCCTTCCGCAGTCGGGTTGTTTTCGTTCTCTGCGTCGGAACCTTCGTGCTCCTCGAACTCGCTGCGGTTGATCTGTATAGCCGGAGCTGACACGTCCGCATTGGGACCGTATCTTCTCCGTCCTGCCTTGGTAGCATTCTCATCGATTTCGGCGTTGTCACTGTCTTCACCTGCAAGCTCGCGTCTTAGAGCTTCAACAGCTTCGTCGTTCTGTGCGCGTTTCGCAGCCTCGGACTTCTGCATAAAGGCCATCTGACCCAGCTTAGACTCCTTAGTCGAGAAGGGGTTCGACTTGAGCTTGCCGAGAGATTGTTGTAGTGCGTCGTTGTCCGATTGATCGTCGTCATCGTCGCTCTCTTCCTCCTCGCTTGGCACATCAGATGCTTCCTCATCGTCATCGCGCACGGTCTTGCCCTCAACACGACGACGAAGCTCCTCGTTCCGTCTGGCCATCTCAGTTACACCGTCGAGCGCATCCTGGTCCCAGTTCGCTCTTCCGGTAGCCTTGATGCCCTTGGCCCACTTGCTCTCGCGATGCTTAGCACCCATGCGTTCCTCTGCTCTCCGGCGATCGTTATATTCGCGCTCTTCCTCGGACAGATCAACGCCATCGGCCTTGAGTTGCTCACGTTCCTTCTCCAGCAGCTTTTCGCGCTCCCTGCGGTGCACTCGCCGATAAGACTTACTCTTGATCTTCTTGATGCGCTTGGCGCGAACCTCTTCGCGGAACAATAGCTCTCGTTGCATTCGCAGTTCAGCGCGTCGCCTAAGGACCTCCTCGACTGGCAGTTTGTTCGTTTGGAGCTCTTCCCACTTCTGTATCTTCTCCTCGTCTTCCTTGCCATTTGATAGCCCGCTCTGCTGGAGGATGGACTGAATCGTGCTTTCGAGATCGTTTGTAGGTGCAGCGATCGTAGTGGGTAGGAGGGTCTTCTCTCCCATGTCGCCTCCGGTGGGGTTTTGTAGAGGGAACATCAAATGTTCCGCGCGGCGGTTTTGCTTGATCGTGTCGGTCCACCTCTCAAGAGTTTCATTCGCTTTGGCGTTAGCTGCAGCGCGATCGAGCTTGTCTTGTTGTCGCTTCGGTAAAGGTGCATCTAGTTTCCTAGCAATGTCATTTCGTTTTGAGGATTTGTCGTCCTGCAGCAGCTTAAGCGCCTTCTTTTTCTCCGCGTCGGCGACCTTAGGCTTGAAGCTGAGGAGGTCGACTTTGCGGGAGACACCAAACTCGTCTGGCGCAGCCGACTCATGGACATCCACTCTCCTGCCCTTGGGTTTGTCGTCTTCCCGCGAGGCCAACGAAGAGATCAAGTTCTGCAATTGCGCCTGGCGATCATCCTCATCTTCTTCGTCGGATGAGAGGTCGGATGCGCCATCCGCTGCGGGGTCCTCGCCTTCACTTGGTTCCGAGTCGCTGTCGTCGAATGCGGAGACCTTCTTCTTCTTCTCTTTTTCCCTTCGCTCCTCAGCCTCATCCTCCTCGTATTGATCCAACGCAGTAGCTAGATCGATAGCATCTTCGCCAAGATCGTCTTCGTCTTCTTCCTCTCCATCTGCACTATCGCCCTCGTCGAGATCGATGTCGCCATCTTCGTCCATCATGTCTTGCTCTCGTTTCGACTTCTTTGCCTTTCCCTTGTGGTTCTTGGAACTGCCTCTGAACGTGTAGCCTTCGAAGCGTTCCTCGTCGCTCTCGCCGAACGCCTCGTCCGAGTCGATGCTCTCGTCATCGTCGTCGTCTTCCACGTGACCCATCTGCCAGGTGTTGCCCTCGGAGTCGCTTCCTTCGTCGTAGCTCTCGTCGCCAGACTTCTTCTTGCGCCTTTTGGGCCCGTCGTCCTCGTCCTCATCTTCGTCGTCCTCTTCGTCGTCATCGCGCGCGCGCTTGCGGTTGAAGGCGGGGTCGAATTCGCCTAAGCGGTTCTTGCGCACTTTCGCATCGTCTGGATTCTCGTACTGGGCGATGGAGAAGGCGTCGAGGGCGCGCTTCTGCGCTTTCTTGGGGTTTCGCGATTTCGCATTGCCTTTGCTTGAAGCGCCACCGCTTTGAATCGAGCTGCGTGCTACTCGGGGCGGCATTTCGGCGTTGTAGTTGAGAAGCAAGGCGGCGGAGCGACCTGCAGAACTTCTGGGTTTGCACTTTTTTGACGCACGGGCCACGCCCACCTCCGCTCCAAACTCCGCAAACGCCTCGAAGATTGACCGCGACCATCGTCGATATCATCGCATTGCTTGCTACAACGGCAGGGTCCAGCTAAACCGCCACCATGCAACCCACGGCTTCTCTCCAGAAGATGCTGCGGCGCCTGCCGCTTTCACCCAAACAGGCCGGCAAGGAATACTACAAGGGAAACCGCGTGGGATCCATGGGCACAATCAACAGATACGGAAACTTCACACCCGATTGGAGCAAGATACGGACATATGTGTACCCACTTCACGGCACACATAACATCGAGGTGCGTACAATGATTTGTTTGGCTTGCGACAGCTGGGAAGACATGGTAGAAATCTCATGCTAACATCTGTATAGTTGACACCCTTCGTAGACTCCAGTCTGGAAAAGGTGCGAGGACTCGACGTCGGCAAGGCGGAGAACTACGAAAAGCGATTCACCGGCGAAGACTACCTGAGGGCGTGGAAGCTGGCCGGTGGACATGATCTCGTGGAGACAGGGAGTGAAGCGGTAGCCTCAGGCCGGAATATACCAACACCGTTTGAGGAGAGACCCGCAACGAAGTCATGAAGATGGCCGAGGAGGACTCAGGGCGACTACGATATTTCGGCGCCGATATTGAGAGGGACATGATACGAAGAAGCGCTGGGACACGTCGCGCTGCATTGGGGAAAACCTAGTACATGCGCACCACTGCGACGAACACAAACGTAACGGAGCGCTTCGCATAACGTTGCTACAGCGCCGTGTATGAAGACTTCGAGGAAGCATAGCGTACGTAAAAGCCAGGCGGCTATGATGTTGTATATATTGTACATTACTTGGGTATCATATGCTCCCATCTGACCATAACACTTACACATCACCTCACATCACCACACCCCGCTTCATCCCCTCCTCAGCCCTCCCTCCTAACACCAAAGAAATAATTCCCCCACTGCTGACTCCCTGCCACCTCCTTCCACCCCAACCCAGGCACATACACAACACCCATACACTTGACATTCCCCCAACCAGGTTGTTTCGTAAACCAGCTCCTCAACTCCTCTTCGTTGACGTATTTACTCCACTCATGCGTCCCCTTGGGCACAATACCCAGAACATCTTCTGCAACCACATTTGTAACTACCCAGCTCGTCCACGTCCGCGCAATCGTGCTCATTATCAACCAACCGCCGGGCTTTACGTGCGGGAGAACGTGTTCGAGGAATGGGCCTGGGGCGTTTACGTGCTCGATTACTTCGAACAGCGTGACGATGTCGAAGGCTTCTGTGTCTGATTTCGGACGCGGTAGATCTTCGATAGACGTATTCAAGTATGAGAGTTTACCCGGCGAGGTAAGCGTAGGATCACGTCGCTTGTGCGCCTCAGCAATGGAGAGGACTTGTGGTGTGGGATCGATTGCTGTGACGGAGGTGGTGGTAGGTAGGCGCGCGGCTGATTCAGCGAAGATGCCGCCGCCGCAGCCAATGTCCAAGTATCGTAGTTTCTCAGACGGGTTTGGTGGGGATGTCGAAGAGCGGCATGAAGTTATGAAGTCGTGGCGGAGCGGGTTCATGAGGTGGAGGAGGCGGGAGGGACCGTGGGGGTCCCACCATGATGATGCGAGCGCGTTGAAGTGGGATACTTCCGTTGGGTCGACCGTGGAGGTGGAGTTGGGTGTTGGGTTATGGTGTTTGGGGGCGGTGGTCGATATGCATCGCGAGCTTGGTAGTGGTATTCGGAATGGGGATTGCTTGGTTGCTGTTCGACATGATGAACTTTGTGGTAATCCTCTCTGTATTGAGCGCACTGCTCTGGCTGTGAGTTGTGGCTTCATAACGACAATTGAAGCTTAATCGTGTCTATGAGACGCGGTACACGTTGATGTCACCAAAACTTTGGATCTGCGGCCTCGGCCATCTCAATTCCTTAGTCATCCCTTATCGATAAAGTGATCGAACAACCCATCATGTTCATGCTTGATCCGATCTTGAATACTGTCCGGCAATGGCTTTCTATTCTTTCGTCAAGTCTGCGAGCTTGATGATGGGCCTGAGCCTACCACTTTTTGACTTTTTACCGGGCACATCCTCTGCTCACACAGCCAGGCGCACTTCATCTTCTAATCATCGATCGTCACCGTCGTCGGAGATAAACATGACGTACATGATGCAATAATTGCTAATGGTAAAACAAATTCCAGAGTGACGAAAATTTGTCAAACAACGTCAGCACGTAGAGCTGAAGGTCATTCGCTGATGCACATGTGTGTTGCGCTTACCCGGCAGGCTTCGCCTGGATGAGGTCTTGTCAAGTCTAACCTATCTAGGACGAAAGGCGCATCTACATACAGCAAGTGTACTTAAAGTCGCGCCATCACAACTTCAAACTTCAAACCCAATCCGCTCTTCTCACTTGCAACTTTTCTCAAGAGCACTACTCTATTCGAAGCATCCAACATGTCTCATGGAATATGGACACCAGAAAACTTTGGCTGGATCGCCGTACCAAGAAACCGTTCCAACATCCCATCTGCCGAAGAGGTTGCTGGAATGAACAATGATTCCTATTCAGACCCCATGGACGCCTGGCCCGTGACCGATGTGACAGACAAGGCGCGCAAGTATGCCCAGGAGCATCTAACCAAGGAGACCTACAATCACAGCATGAGAGTATTCTGCTACGGTACGTACTACTCGACCACAACCTTCCCCACCATCACGACGACCACGCAACTTGTGAATTCTACAGAACCACTGACACTGCATAACAGGTATCTACATCATCCAACACTACTTCCCAGAATACCATTCTAAGGCCTTCTTCGAAACCTGGGCACTGACCTGCCTATTCCACGACATCGGCACGACCGATGAAAACATGTCGAACACGCACATGTCCTTCGAGTTCCAAGGCGGCCTCCTGGCTTTGACAAAGTTGCAAGAGTTCGGCGCTCACAAAATTCAAGCAGAGAGCGTTGCCGAAGCCATCATCCGCCACCAGGATCCCGGTGAGACAGGCACGGTTAGTGCCATGGTGCAGATGATTCAGATTGCTACTGAGTTTGGTAAGTCATACTTCTGTTGATAGTACTCTGGATTGACAAGTGATTGACATTACTTAGACAACATGGGACTACAACCGCATCTTATAGGCCGGGAGGTTATCGAATCGGTGACGGCGCAACTGCCTCGAATGGGCTGGTCGGGATGTTTCTCGAGCACAATTCTGAAGGAGATTAGATTGAAGCCTTGGTGCCATACTACGGCGTTGGAGAACTTTGCCGAGTCTGTGGCAGGGAATGAGCTTATGAGACCTTACGAATAAGCGGGGCGTGAACGAGAGCAAGATATCAAGATGATTGGAAACGACGATATGTATAAAGAACAAATGAGATTACAGAGCTAGAGTAGTATACAAATTGCGAATAGGTCAATCCAAGCTCGTTGCTTGCGGGTATGAGACTCTCGTACCCACCAACTCCCAACCCACAACCCCCTGCATCATGAGGCGAAAAGTGCTGAGAGCCACTGGAGCTCCACCCTTACCTTGGATCATTAGTATCAGTCACCGAATACGTAACGCACCGATACGTGTATCTCCCAGCGTTAAACTTATCCTTGATAGTATTGCACTCTTTGATCAATTTGCGAACCGCGTACCGACAATCATCTTCATCCAATTTCCAGTTGAAGCCCCTGCCACAACAATTAGCATCGCTGAAACATACACAAAGGCAAAGATAAGGACTTACTCGCACCACTCCATATCCCCATACGGTTCCTTCTCCCCCGTCTTCACCGTCGCTACATTCATACGCATATGCATGGGCGTATGATCGTTCGGGTAGAAAGGCGCCTCGCCTTCTGGCGGATACATGAAGCCGTCGGCATTGTTTCCGAATCCGTCGATCGTAGTGCCATCTTTACACCATGCGCTGATCGCCTTTTCGATGTCGTCTGGGGCGATTTTACGGTTGAGAAAGTATTTTTTCGGATCCCAACATTGAGTTGTGTAGGGGTTGTTGCTGTCCTTGGCGGTCAGAAATTCTGGAGCGGGAAAAGCTGGGTGTTCGTTCCAGGGAGGGTTGTCGAGCTGCGTGACGCCGCTGAGGTCGAGGCTGTAGTCGATGGTGCCGACTGTAGCGGTGAAGCCGTGGGTGTTGTCGGAGTCGGGGTCGCAGGTGCTCAGGCCGTTGGTGAGTGCGGCGACGCATTCGTCTTTCACAAACGAAGCTTGTTGGTTGTTGCCGTTTGGCTTTGCACGGAGCCAAAATGAGCGTCGGTCGGGCACGTCGAGTTGGGTGATGCCCCAGCGCCAGTATACGTTGTCGGAGATGGAGTTGGAACTGAATTGGTGGCCGTCGTTGTCGCTGCACCAGGTTTGGATGGCTGACTCGACGCTTACTCCACTGGAGGCGGTCTTGTCGTTCTTTGGTGCGTCGAGTGGGTGGTTCAGGCACTCGACTGTCGACTGAATCTGATGATGGGCAGCAAAGGAATATGTACCACAGCCGATATCGATGGCCCCACTCCCTGCCAGGAACTTCTTATCGTCACCTACTTTACATGAATCGTTATCATTCAGGGCTTGGAAAGATTCCTGACATGACACGGCGCACTCAGTAGCATTGTCTCCAGTGTTAGGTCGCCACCAAAGAGCGAACTTGTATTCATCGTGCTCTTCAGAGGTCTCGCGTCTCCAGAAGCGCCGGCGTTGAAGTTGCGACTGCTCTCCGAGGGAGTTGACCATCCAGGTGACATCTTCCTTGGAACCATCGGCCTTTTCGCAAAACTTGGTGTAGGTTTTGTTGAACGCGTCGACGGGAAACTTCGTATCTTCATTGGGTAGACAGAAGGCGAAAGTGTTCTCTATGGGAACCATTGGAATCTGAGCATGATATGGTACAGTCCATGGCTCGATAGTTGCTGTAGTAACAGCATAGGTCGACAATGGTGGGGCCGATGTCATTGTAGGACATGAAGTGGTACAGTCTCTAATATTGCCAATCTGTGTACAAGACGCAGTGCAAGTGACCAAGCCGGAGGAACTCGAGCTGCTCGTAGTACTAGACGCCGATGACATGGTAGATGTAGCTGTTGTTGTCATGGAGCCGATGGATGCTGTCGCGGTACCGTCCAGCTCGGTCTTGGACCAATAGTTCGTTACCGACGGAGGCATCATAAGGACAATGGCGTTGTAGGCCAGCAGGAAAGACGCGGCGCCAATAATTATCATGGCCTGCCGGGGTTGAGCTAGATATACCGCCAAGTCTGCGGCGAAGTCCAGTACCCCAAGCATCGCTTGCTGTACGTCTGGATTCGTCCATATCGGTTCCTGTCCTTCCAGTAGACCCAGCTCTGCGAAGGGGCCACTGGGACCGGCGTTGAGAACGATCTCCCGTGCTGCGCAGACGACTTCTCCAAGCTGATCTTCAACATCTCGACTGCGAAGCTTGCGTTTGTTCGATCCAGAGAACTCTGCACCAGCCGCGCACTGTTTACTGATGTTTATCATGCTGTTAAGGCGGGCGGCTAGATCAGCGGAGAGAAAGAGGGCCACGTCGCCGGTTGAGTGACCATCTTTTGACTCGGTCAGGGTGGTTTGGCGTGGTGCATCAGACCTAAGTATAGGTAAGTATAAGTGTGCTCTATTTAGTGACCGTTACTTACTGAGTAGTCGTGACAACGTCCGGCGTCGGGGTGATGAGTAAGGCTGAAACAGCGGACTCCGTGACGTAAGCAAAGGTAGATGACTGCGCTACTGATGCTGCAGAACTTAGTTGTGTAGCCGGAATGTGGAGCATAGAGGTCGCTCCTGGTCGTTGTGACATTGCTTGCGTAGGGTCGGCTGCTTGCTGGATGATCGGAAACAACAATGCGATAAGAGGGATGGCGGCAAGTGCCATCTCCCCAGCAGTGAGCTGTCTTGCTTCCAGATTGGTGTCACGGTTGAACAAAAGGCTCTTAATACTGTCGAAACATACACTATCGATCGTAGTGCAGTGGCTGTTCAGAGCCTCATTGATGCTGGTGCGCAACTCATCTGAGATGACCATGTCGACGCCATCATGATTGGCAGGCTCAGTGAACATGGCACGAGAACCACTCAGACTAGGTGTAGTGCTCTGGTGCTGATCAGTATATCTTCGATGCGTGAATTAAAGAATAGAGATAATGGCTTACGAGTGAGACGGAGTATTGGGAGAGATTGCCAACAGATAGTGTGATTGTGTCGGCACCAGCGATGCTAGCCATGGCGACGACGCTAATGGCAGTAAAGATAGAGATCATTGTGATAGGTCGTCACTTGCGTGGATGTATGCTGTAAGGTAGAGCTCAAGAATGGAGCTTCTGCAAATTCAACAGCGACATCTGAAGGCTTTAAGTACCTCGAATTCGCGGGTCTGACGGTGATGTGCCCATCTCGATGATGACATTTGAAGACATGAACGGCTGGTTTACGTCGCCCCATTCCACCCAACCTGAGATGCCGGGCAGGATTGTGTGTCTCCGCCTCCTCCTGCATATCCGCCCCACGATGAGGATGAGGATGTATGCATAGTCGATCCGTGGCGGCGCAGAGGTTGGTGATGTCCTACTGCGCCTCGTGTCATCATGTTGTTGACGCCGGTACGACGTCAATCAACTCCTGAGTGCATGGCTCGTACTTTATCGCGCATGCCAGCTCCAACACACGGCGCTGGCCGGTTCGGGTAGCTGATCTGCGATAGTTGCTCTGATGCATGAGATTAGACGGGTAGTAAGCCCAGAACCACTATCTGCATTGGTGAACACGCATCTCGACCCCAAAACAACTCTCCCTAGCCCCATGCGAGTGCACATCTAACAAGTCATCCCACCAACAGTGCAATCACCAGAGCGAAGTCATTCTCACTGGACCCCAACACACGTCTCCCGAGACACCTCAAGGAACAGCAGTGCTGGACGCCGCATCTATGATGGCGGCCAACTCGGGCTGATCAATGTCTCTTGCGTACTCTGCTGCTGTCTGACCGAGGATGTCACGGTACGATGTGTCTGCGCCATGTCTCAGCAGAACTTCCAGCTGATCTTTCTTGACCCAATGAACGGCGTGACACAATGGTGAACCCCATCTCTCCGTGGGATGGTTGATGTCTGCGCCTTGTTCAATCAGTAGTTCTAGAGTCGCTGTGCCTCTAGACCAGTCGTGATCACTGATGGCGGCAAACATCGCCAAAGGATCCATATCAGCCCCATGAGACAACAGTATCTTAGCCGCAGAGGGATCAGAGAGCTTGACCGCCGCAATTAGCGGAGTGCAGCGCTCGGCACTGAAGCCAGGCTTCTGTCCGGCCTCTGCATTTGGGTCCGCGTCATGTGCGAGTAGCCAACGGAGTAGCGTTTCATTCTCAACGGCTGCCCTGATTTCAGATGAGTGAAGGGGCTAGAAATGTGGCACAACATACACTCACTCAAGTGCCGTGGGGCCATATTCCGTGGAATTGACGTCCCAACCGTTTTCGACCATCAACTGAAGCAAGGCAGGATTCCCTCGATCAAAAGCCGCGTAGAAAGACTCTTCCGTCATCTTCGCACCCCATTTGATGAGGGCACCAATTGTTTCCATAGATGCTTCCTTCATGGCAAATATGAGGCATCTATCCAACTCCTCCTGTTCGAGAGGTGGATGTTGCGATAACTCGTTGTTCAATCTGGACAAGTCGTCGGATCGGATGATCTCTCGCAAATGGTTAGACAATGGTGGCCACATGTTTCGCGAATGGCTTCGTTATCGCACGACGTGCGACTGCAGTGATGTTCGTCGGTGTGATGATGGAATGGATGAGTCCAGAGGCGTGGTTGCTTATGTATGTACATCAGCAAGTGGTATTACGGCGTAGCAGCGCTTCGCGTGACGTCGCTTCCAGGATAAGTTACGAAGGTGCGTCATGCGCCAAGCTGTCCAATAGCAACTGTGAGCTTCCCCGGATAACCCCAATGGAGTTGGCCCCTGACTAGCGATATGAAACAATGGGGGCAAGTCGATAACAGATATTACAATTGCCGTACACCATCCCGCTATCGCCCCCCATGACTAGGTGCGATCAATGGTGGCGCGACCATTGGGGCCATCGCACTCTGTTTCATACCCCAGGAGTTTACCTTGCCGCAATGGGTCCATTTCTCTCGTTCTCAAGTCGCATTGGAAAGTTCCACTGCTATCATATAACCACAATGGGGTATTTAAAGAGCGCTTCTTGCTGGCTGAGTCCACATCACCAGAACTAAACTCAGGGTACCATACCAATACATCAGCGCATCACACGTCAGTCAGTCAGAATGAAGATTCTCCCACTCCTGATAGCCTTCTGTCTTTGGCAGTCATCAGCCAATGTCATCTTCAGTGCGTACTGCGTAAGAACATCCCACATGTCAACTTGTTCTGACACACTAAGCAGGACATTTCTTCGACATCGGTTCTGATCGATCGGTGGACCTCTATAACCCTCCTTCAAAGCATTTTGGAACGAAGGGTACCGCAGGTCAAATACTGCCGCGCGATGACGACGAGACGGTATGCCGTCCTCCGAGCAGACCTGTACCTGAAGCCAAAAGGGGAATCAATGAATCCCCTTCAACTGTGCATAACCAAACCTTATGGAGGCGTACCATGCCAGTTCCTGATCCTGGAGATGAAGATGCGTACATCGTGAAACAAACCGAGAGCAAGGATACATATCCCATCTGGTGGGGCGTAGACAATCCAGCAGAGGCCGGTCGAAAAAGGACGCAGTACGACGTCAACACAGCATTGTTCAGGAAATATGGGGATGTACCCATCAGTCTGTCAACGTTTGATCTCCATGGTTGCTCTTGCTTAGCTATCGTCAGCCGCAAAGGTGTTTACATGTCACACTACTGGGAGAGTATTGCATACTCACCGGACAAAAAGCAAATGAAAGCAGAAGGCACAAACCAACCTGATCTGTTCGAGAAGTTCGTTCTTTCAGGACTACGAGACGGGATCAAGGGGGCAAAGATAACTGAGCAGGCATCGCTTCGAGACAACGCGCAGCTGTTTGACGACGATCACACTTACGCATATCTTATACACCCTGCACCCAAAGCCGGCAACCGGAACGGATACCAGGTCGAAGCGCAAAAGATCCGGACAGTGGTGGAGGACCTTGTCCCCAAGATCAAGAATTCTGGAAGATTCATTCTTCATCCATACGCGGTTCAATCAAAAAAGTCAATACGCATGAAGACGTCAGCCGGGAGAGCTTTGTTTCTGTACGACCCGAGAGAAGCGGATCCACCCCAAAGAGGATACACCACGGCGAAGATTATGCTTTGGAGCGAGACTAGGGTCATACATCAAGACCAATGGGACTACAGCCGCAGAGGTTGATTTTTACATATTTGGAAGGAATATGCGTCTAGCGTAGCAGGCTGACTGTCTCCTTTATCTCTAAGTTTGGGGCTTACACTCGTTTATTGGACCGTTATCGTTGCGCAGCTTTCTCATATCGGCGATTCGACGTCAATTAGTAGTTAGTATACATTACATTATCTACACAACAGTCTAGTACATGTCAAGACTTGGCCAACAGAGAAAGACACGCAGATTGTTCGATCACCTTCACCACAAAGGCATGTATCTAAACCTTGGGGTAACTTTGCACCCTAGCGCATGCATGTGTTCCTCTAATTCTCCTGCCTAGCCTCCGCCTCCTCCAAGATCTTGGCTAACTCCGGCTGATTCTTCGCCCTCGCAAACATCGCGGGCGTATCCTCACTCAACCTAGATCCTCTCCTAGGATCAGCCCCATTTTCCAATAGATACACCAACTTCTCCTTTGCGCCCCAATTCACAGCATGGTGGAGTGGAGTCGCCCAGAGACTGGCTACATAGTTTACATCGACACCATGCTCCACCAAAGCGATCGTAGTAGCCATACCGTTTGCTTGGCCCCTAACCCCAATAGCGTGGAAAAGTGCCAAGGGATCCATCTCAGCACCGTAAGAGAGAAGTATATCGAGTGCGGTCGTATCATCAAACTCTGCTGCGGCAGCGAGCGGTGTGCAAGGCTGTAGACAGGACGCGCCTCGCCTCACAGATTTGGTGTTCGTATTGGCGCCGTGATCCAAAAACCAACGCAGTAAACGTTCATTGTCCAGAACGAGCCTGAAATTGATTAGCTATGGCCAGACTGATGCTGAATAGTTCACTCACTGTACAGCGGGTAGTTCAAACTCCGTAGAATCGACATCCCATCCATAGTCGATGAGTTTCTGGAACACGGCGGTCTCTTTCCTTTCAAAGGCTTCGACGAAGGCTAAGAATGAGAGTGTGGCTCCATGTTTGAGTAGGGTATCGATCATCTCTAGGGAGCCATTGGGCATGGCTAGTAGTAGACATTCTTGTAAGATCTCATAGCTGGGTGGAGGATGTCTTTCTAGCCATGCTCGTACACCATCGACATCGTCAGAACTGAGGGCGTTTTGGATGACCACCGGTGGACTGTTCATTTTGTGGCCAAGAACAGTCGTCTCATGACCGCATCCAGATTGATATCCGCCGGTATCAATTCAACTCCGGAGATGTGAGTCATCATCAATTCAACCACGCCGTAAACCCGCATACCCGTCTTGCTTCCACTAGGCTGCCACCTTGGCAAAGCCTCTGCGTGTTCAGCTTCCCGCCTCACTGAATCTATGTAAGGCTGGAGCAAGAGCACCTTTGCTCACTATTTCCTATGAATTCAACCCAATATGCAATCATATTCTTCTTCAGACCCTCTAAGTCTCGAACTCGTGTCCTTAATCCGGGCCAACGACGTCCCCGGCCTCCACGCCAAATTCTCCAAGCGCGGTCGTCCTAAGAAAGATACGCGAGCCATCACAGAAGAAGATAAAGTGTACTGTCTCCAAGTAGCCATGCCGGAGGCTTCTCTGGAGGTCATTGACACGCTGATCGGGTACGGAGCATATCTGAATTGGAAGTCTTTTAGAGATGCGCTTGCGAGGGGAGATGGGGAGACAGAATTACTGGACTTGATGCTGAAGAGAGGATGGACGTTGGGGGGACTATGGTATGGAGCGAGTGTAGTTGAGTAGGTGTATTCCTGAAAATGTTGTAGTGCGCTTTTGTTGGTCGATACCGTCACTGAGAGCTCTTTTGCTCATTCCCTTGATCTTTTCTTTATCGATATCTGCGCTTACAGAATATACGGAGCAAGAAGATAGGCCCGCTACGACCCACTTGTAGAGCCATTGAACTCTTCTCAATCAAGCTCGATGCTCGAAACCCGAAGGCTTACGCTAACAGACATACAGATCAGCTATCCGGCACGAAAACACTCTCCGCTGGCTTCTCATCCATGGCGCAAACCCGAACATAACGTCGAATCCCAGACTGGTAGGTTCCTGCGCCGATCGCACAACCCCTTTAGCAAGAGCTGCTGGATCTGGACGAGTAAACGCCATGGAGATCCTGCTCGACCACGGCGCAACGCTAGATCCCAACGCCATGCGCAGCGCGATCAAAGGGCAAAAGACAGACATGTCAGCCCTGAGATTCCTCATCGCGAGAGGCCTGGATGTAAATCGAAGTAACCTCAAGAGAAGCACGCTTCTAAACCAAGCAGTGTATCACAGGAACGTGGAAGCGGTCAAGGTCTTGTTGGAGGCGGGTGCTGATCCCAACATTGTGACATCTGGTTCCACGGCTGCGGACTATGCACGGAAAGTAGGCCGGGTGGCAATAGCAGAGATTCTGGAGGCGGCAATGCCGAGGAGGAGTAGGAGACTTAGAGGGGTGAAACCACTTGCGCAATGCTGAGATGGGCTGTACAGTAGAAGGAACATGTGGGCTGGACAGCTGTCACATGTAGGCAGTAGTAATAAAGTACTTCATTGAATACAAGGCTATAAAGGAAGTTGAGGTTGTGACCGTAGCACCATCCAACAATCGACCCTACGACTTGCACACGAACAGTGTATTCCACAGCCGTTAACCATTTTCGTCGTTTCGCCATTTCGAACGCCGATATGCCCACCCTTCCAAGTATCATGATATCGTTGCAAGGTTGCTAAGTGCATGCTCAACGAGTGACTGGCCGTGCCAACATGAGAAAATAAATGGACCCAAAACAAGCCAAACATGTACGCCTTAACCGTCATCCCATGCAGGTTGTGCGCCATATTTATCCGAGAAGTTTGTCCTTGGGTAGACGCTTGAGGGCTGCCTCAACGTCCTTGTGGTCAACGACGACGCCGCTCTCGGAACAACGGGCTTTGGCGCGGAGCTCTGAGCAGAGATTGTCGATGTCGATTGTGCCATCCTTGAAGTCTGGGCGACTTGAGAGCTTGTCCCTGTGCGGAGTTAGCGTACCAGTTCCCAAGTAATCACAGGGTTGTACTGACCATATCTTGTGGCAGTTGAGCAGCGAGTTGACATCCTCGCCGGGGACTACCTCGTCCTCGCCATCTTGTATGCGCTCAATTTCTTCAAGAGGATTCGTCTTCTGCACAGCAGGTGTGTCACCGAAGTGGAAGGGGCTACCGTAGCCAGTATTGAGGAAAGCATCGTTAAAGAAGCCACCAGTGAAGTCGCCGTCGCCCACGATCGCATTCTGGGTATCGCGGTACTCCCCAAAGAGTGTCGGGTCGAATTGGCCGCCGTTTTGATTCGCGAAGTAGTCGATGCCGTTGACGGCAGGTGTGGGGGATTTGGCGGCTAAGACTGCAGGAGAAGGTTTGTCGTCAGATTGGGACATCGCACGAGGCATGGGATTACGAGGGTTGCCGCAGGCCATGTTGAGCTTTTCGCAGAAGAGAACCTCACCTTCGGAGTTTCCATGACACACATAACCGTCCTTGATCGTGTCCAACTGCTGATTGGGCGAGGTATGACTTGGCTCTGGTGATGTCCCGCAGGAGGAGTCTTGGTTGGTAGGCGATGTGGATGAGTTGGACGGTGAGTCTGAATGGCTTGACGAGCCACTGTTGAACTGGAAAACACGCGATTGCGAACGAGTGGAGTTTTCTGTGTTACTGCGGGAGGGTTCGTTGTTCGTTTTGTTGTTGTTGTCGAATCCGAAAAAGCCGTTGAGACTGCCGGAGCGCTGCGCACTACCTGGGCCCATGGCGCCAGGGGAATCTGTGAGCGAGCCGTTGGCCCTGCTGGTCGGGCTAAGGGCGCGTCCGGTGCTGTTTTGGCGACCAGATGCATTCGACGAAACCGACGTGTTCTTGTTCTTTGCTAATGGACCGTTGTCTAGTAGCTGAGCACCAGGAAGTCCGCCGAAACGTGGAAACTCGAAGGAGAAGTTGTTGTTATTGCTATTGTTGTTCAGCATAGAGCTGAAGCCTCCAGCAAGAGCAGGAGTACGAGACACTCCGGTGCTGTTGAGCGAGAGTCGTTTTCGGTATTCGCGAAGTTCCGTTTGCAGCCGTTGCACCTGTGCCCGGAGGAGACCATTCTCGTGGTTTGTGGCATCGGAAGCCTTCTCGAGTTCCTGCACTTTGGTCTCGAGGTCCTTCAGGTGCTTCTCTTTGCGTTCTCGGAAAGCTCGTTGGGCCGCGCGATTCTGGGCTTTACGCTTCTATGCCTGCTGTCAGTTGGGCCAACGTGAGCATGCTCCGTAAAACCTACAGTTGTGGGCTCCGAAGTCAATGGTTTGCGACCTGGCTTCTTGGCTTGCTTGTCTTCACCTTCCCTGCGCTTGCCGCCGCCCTCGTCATCGTCATCGTCACCGTCGTCCGGACTCTTCCGCTTTTCGCTCGAATCGCCGGGAGTATCCCCAGGTAGTGAGCCAATCATGTCGCCGTCTGCGTTGTCGAAATCGAAGCCATTGTCGCCATCCAGGTAGTCGACAAAGGGACTCTCTTCCATACTTCCGCCGTTGAAGCCGTTCGCGGGTGTTTGTTGTTGGGGCGACGTGAAGTATGCGGGATCGAGGCTGTCGAGAGGATACTGGAATTGGGAGTTGTTCATAGACTGCTTGTTGTTGGAGCTGCTGTCTAGGCCAGCGGAAAAGATGTCGTTAGGGTTCTGGTTGTTCGAGGCCAGGGCCGCGAGGAGGAGATCCTGCTGCGTCGCATCCAGGTAGAAGGGCGCGCCATTCTGGAAATCGTTGGTAGTTCCGGCCATTGCAACTACAATCGCGAGGTAGAAGGTGGTTGGTGTTGTGTATAGCTCCGAGGAGAGCTTGCGGGTTGCTTACCGCAGCTGCGCAGCGTAGCGGAAGTTCGGAGGGGCTGGCTATCGGTCAACCACGTGCGATAACCGTTTTCGCCACCCGGACACCGCAAAATGTGGAGGAGCGGGCGCGTTGGGGTTCTGAGAGGTGGTATGAATGACGCAAGATGGTTGGGGTTGATTTGGGTAGCTCGTTCAGCGGGCGGAGGCGGGCCAGTAAGCCGACGAAGGTTTCGCGGGTATGGGAGGGCTTGTGCAGAGGGCAGAGCGCTCTGTGAGTGTAGCGCACTTGACGACGGCCGCAGAGGGGTATGCGATGTCTTTTGTCAAGAAATGGGCAGTTTGAGCGAAAGGTGGTCAGATGGTGAAGGAGCAATGGTGCAAGAAGTCAATTCGCAGCCTCACAGCCTGGAAGCCAGATCCAATGCGGCACCTGGGTACCCTAGCTGGTTGGTTCGGGCGACTTTTCGGAGCAACGCTGTTAAGCCTGTCAAAAAGCGGCCGACAACAGGTGAACGGATGATCAGCGTCAGTGATAGGTTGGGGCCGAGAGTGTGACTGTTCTCGCAGAGGCACGGCGTCAGAGAAGGGCGCAGCAGACGGCAGGCTCAGCATGCGCTTCCTGGTCTGATTGATAAGCACAAAGCTTGGTGGGGTAGGGGAGAACGCCATCGAAGACCACCACACCGGACGCTGATCACCGCGTCCGGTGCCTGGTCCTGCAGCAGATGTGAGTCTCGCCAGATTCTCGAGTGCTGTCTGCTGGAAGGAGACTGGCTGGTTATAACAGAATTGGGGGTTTCGCTGCTACTATACTCATTGGCGTCATGCGTCATGCTGAATAAGAGTTGCCACTGCGTCTCTCGCAGTCTACTTCCGAAGACGGCGCTTTTCTGGAAAGAAGAATACTAATCATCTCGCTGCGTACTTGCCTAGTCCATGCGACTCGGCCATAGTTGATCATGGATACTATCTCTCATAAACGTCGGTGAAGCAGCGTAGAATGGTGCCAAGCATGAAGATGCGGCAGGGACTATCAAATGCAGAGTTGATGGCTGCAGCTGCAGACGTTAGGTGACGTGAGCAGTGAGTTTGGGTGACGGTGGTGACGGCCCCAGTGCCATTCGACATTCACGCACGCTTGTCTCACTTATAGGGCTGAAGCGCGGAGAAAAAAAGGGTCTGGGCTGTGTGGGGCGGCGCCAAGACCAGCGGCAGCCTGCCGGGCGTCACTGCTGGTCGCGACTTCCTACCTGTACGCGACTGTGATTAATCCAACCCACGACAACATCGCAACCACAAGTCAACCAGCGATTGCAACATGGCGGACAACACCAAGCAGATCAAGAACGCCGTCAACGCCAAGAGGCAGGCAATCGCCACGGAAGAGGCGCAACGTGCAGGATGGGCAGGTCAAGTAAGCTGCGCACCACGGAGCTATCGCATTGACCCAACTGACATTGTATAGCTTCCGGAGATGGAGGCTCTGATTGCCACCGTCGGAGAGACTGAGGAGACGACTGGTTTGCGTGCGGAAATGCAGCAGCATATCGCCGAGCACGACGCCAAACTTGAGGTCCTGCGATCCGAACTCGCCGCTCTCGAGGCCCAGCTTCCTGAGGACGCCGCTGAACCTGCCGGTCCCAAGTTCGATATTGAGAAGCACCCAGTCCTGCGCAAGACCATGGAGAAGCAAGAGCCCGAGAAGGCCGTCGTATTGAACATTGGCGACATCTGCGAGGCGCAGTGGACTGACAGGTCCTGGTACAAGGCCAAGATCCAGAGTAAACTCGGCGCCGCCTCAGCCCCCAAGTACCTTGTTCGCTTCATCGAGTACGACGACACCTTGACCGTCGATGGCTCCGCCGTACGCCCTCTGCCGAACAAGCGCAAGCGCGACGCCGAGCCCGCGTTCGCCGCAACTCCCTCTGCGCCCGTTGTCTCAAGTGCCCACGTCATCTCCGGAGCTGCTAGCATGAATCCGAGTGCGCAGGCTGCCAAGAGCGCCGGAGCTGCCCAGGACGGAGAAGAGAGGAAGGCTAGTCGCATCGCCAACAAGGGCATCCTCAAGAAGAGGCAGTCAAACTGGGCCGACTTCCAGAACAAAGGTAAAAAGAAGGGCGTTGTTAAGAAGGAGTCCATGTTCCGTACCAGTACCGAGGCTGGCAGTCGAGGTGAGTAAACCTAGCAATCTTTCTGTGTCTCATTGCTAACGCCTCACAGTCGGCTTCACGGGCTCTGGCAAGGGCATGACCGAAACCCACAAGCGTCAGCGTTACGACCACAAGGCCGACGCGGACCAGGACGAGGAGTACTCTGGCGACCGCAAAGGCTTCTAGACCGTCCAAGGCGAGGTCGACGAATACTCCGTGGTACGTACAAGTGTGATCGAAAACATTTGATACTCTGAATCCCTTGCTTACGTTGCCCTCGGGCCAACTTCAGACCTAGGCATACCTCAGCTACATGGAGTGATCCATTGTTGATCGAGAAGCGAAGCTTTGGCTTTGTATAAGAGGATGGAGCTAACCTGATGCAGGAGTTCGCACTCGTTTCGACTACTCACGACTACTCGATTGAGTCTACACGAAGACCACGACATCTGCATCTTTCGGTATGACTCTTCGGTACACACTCTCGTCTGTTGAGCCAACTCACTAAGCACGACGACTCGATAGGCGTTCGATACCCACTTCATCTGACATCACTGGTCACGCATCACGTATGGCTAGGTTACATTGTCAGGTAAGATACATGCACTTTTACTTTCTCCTTTCGTGCGTGCGTACATGAGCCACTACTCTTGTGCGTACATCATCTGCGGCCAGGTCTTTTACGTAGTCGGTCGGACAAATAGCGTTTGGGGATTGTTCATAGGAATCAAACATTCAAGTTCAAGATCACTTGCCACCGTGCCATAGCCATGAGCAATAAGTGTAGCCTCGTGTTCTACGCGAAGGACGTTGAGTTGCCGAGCACCTTCCAAGGCGGTGGTCGCGGCTTTGTTCCCGAATGCCCCGCGGTCCCACCAGCACACATCCTCGCGTCTTCTAGCTCCGGCCTCACCCCACGCCTCGACGGTCCAACTACCGCGACGCGTCCGTCAACCACGAAGCGCAAGGCATGTCGGGACTGCTCCCTAGAGCTCCTGGACTGCAACACGCGACTTCAGCATGGAGGCGGATTGGGACGAGGTAGGTAGCCGACGGCATGCCAATCACGCCTACCGTACTGACCACTGCGCAGCTAGCCATCGCTCAATTGCCGCCCCCAGGACCACACCTACCCGCTGTACCCATATCGACGTTCGCTTTCGACACAACACAAGAACTGCTATGGACAGGAAACAACCATGTGAGTACGTTCACACGCGACCCGTGCCAGGTGCCGTGCGACTGACATCTTCGCAGGGGCGCGTCACGTCTTTCTACGGCCCTCACCTCGAACGCTACACCTCGTACCGCGGACATGCGCCTCCCGATGGCCCCGTCAAGCAATTCCTCTTCACCGAGAAGGGGATTCTCTCCATCTCTAAACAAAGCGTCCACTATTCCCACCGCCGCGGACTCACACAATGGCATCTGACGTATGTTGGTTGCGGAAGGGGAAAGAGCGCACAAGGGCAGCGGCTGACCATCAGCGTATAGGAGCGCCGAGTTCAAGGACATGACATGCATGAACTTCACCTCCAAAGGCACGCGCGAGATCCTCGTCGCAGGATGCCAGGCGCAAATGTTCAAAGTAGACGTGGAGAAGGGCATCATCACACACACGGTATATCGCATGCCTTCATTAATTACCCTGAACTAACCAATCGAAGCTCCCTAACGAAGCTCAATACACCATCATGAAGCGTGCTGGACAGTACCTTTGCGCCGCCACGAAGACCGGTAGCATCCACATCTTGGACTCAAATTCGCTTGCCGTCATCAAGGTGTTCGAAGGTCATACTGGTAGCATCAACGACATGGACGCAAAGGGCGATTTCCTTGCAACATGCGGATGGTCTCCACGACAACAATATGCATATATGCTGGACCCATTCACCAATGTCTTCTCTTTGAAGACGCTGAAACAGCTACCTCCCATCCCATTCCACACAGGTGCAGCCTATGTGCGCATGCATCCCCGTATGTCTACTACAGCTTTCATCGCCTCTCAGAACGGCCAGATGCAGGTCATCGATCTCATGAACCCCGACTCGGCCAACCTCCGGCAACTGAACTTCTACGATTCGTTCCTCACTGGCTTTGAGATGGCACCTTCTGGCGAGGCTATTGCACTAGCAGACTCCAACTCGCACATACATCTTTGGGGCTCTCCGACCAAAGTACACTTCCCAGAATACAGCAACCCAACAGAGACTGCAGATCATAATGTTCCACCGCCCCCACAGATGGATTGGAACCCTGACACGTAGGTCTTACCGATTTTCAAACTTGACGTATTGCTTACTCTGCCCAGACCCCTGAGTACTGTTGGTATGCCATATTACAAGGAACAGCTACTTTCGAGTTGGCCTAGTCATCTAGTTTTCGAAGTCGGTGCCCCTCCGCCTAAGATTGATAGCACGATACTCGGCAACATGACGCGCGCCGAGATTGGATTCTACGCCAAGAACCCCAATACGAAGCGCAGAAACCAAGCCGAAGCAACACGGCAGGTGGATAGAGTGAGCGAATCGCTGTCTGCCCCCAAGTTTCTAAGTGAGAAAGCTCGGGCATCGCAGTCCTTCACCGAGCCAGATGCCCGGATAACAGAGACTATGGAGACTTTGACCGACCTGCATCTCGACGATGTTACACGCAAAGATGTTCCAGCCATGTATGGAAACGTGGAGATCAAGTACAGCAAGTTCGGTGTTGATGACTTCGACTTTGCGTATGTCTTCCCAACAACATCATTTGCCCACGCACTGACACGGCACCAGCTACTACAACCAGACACCCTACTCTGGTCTAGAGACTCACATTACCAACTCTTACGCCAATTCACTTCTGCAACTCTTCCGATTTACGCCGCTGCTACGAAATCTTGCTCTGCAACACACTGCTTCGCCATGCCTCTTTGAGTCTTGCCTTCTTTGCGAACTGGGGTTTCTCATCGATATGCTCGAAAAGGCGGCTGGGCTCAACTGTCAAGCATCTAACTTCTTGAAGACCTTCAGTGGCCTTTCGAATGCAGTCTCACTGAATCTGCTTGAAGAATTTGCTCCCAACGTTGCACTTACCACTATGATCCAGAACCTCAACCGCTTTCTGTTGGACAAGGTTTCCGAAGAATTCCGACAGATGCTTCCAGGGAACAATGGGCCTTCAGCCATGGATCAAGTACTGGAAACCCAGGCAAAAGCGAGCATGAGATGTGCACAGTGCAATAACGAAACCATCCGTGGAGGCAAGAACTTCGTCAATGAGCTCGTATATCCTGCGAAGCAGGTGATGAGGAACACTAGAATAGCACGTCCGACCTTCTCACAGATCCTGAAAGCTAGCGTCGAGCGGCAAGATCAAACTCGGGGTTGGTGTACAAAGTGCAACCGTTACCAGCAGATGGTACAGCGGAAGACAATCCAGTCAGTACCTGGAGTGTTGATGCTCAACGCTGCCATACAAAGCCATGAAGCCAAGTTGTTGTGGTCGACGCCCAATTGGCTTCCGCAAGAGATCGGGATCATAGTAGATCAAGGTCAATTCTACTGTTTCGAAGGCCAAGACCTGAAGCTACACCTGCAACGCGGAGTACATCAGATCATGGTTTATGAACTTGTTGGAGTCGTCGCGGATATCAACAGCGGCGAGCGTCAGAAGCCTCACCTGGTAGCGACCATCAACACCGCACCTTCGTCACGAGAAGAGGATTTAGAAGACAGATGGCATCTCTTTAACGACTTCCTAGTGAGACCAATCCCCAAAGAGGAGGCTCTGCGCTTCGATACAAGTTGGAAGCTTCCGTCTGTCTTGACCTTCCAGCTGAAGTCTGCCCGCAACAAGATCGACGACTCGTGGAAACAGAACCTTGACACTTCCATTCTGTACAGGTGGTGGTCGTCTAATCCAACGCCTCCAGAGGAGAAATTTAAGCTGCTTCAACACTCATCAGAAGAGCCACGCCCTGGCTACCCAGTCGCTATCGATGCCGAGTTCATTCGCCTCCAAGCCGAAGAGATCGAAATGAAGGCCGATGGCACCCGCCAGACCATTCGTCCTGATCGCAAGGGCTTAGCTCGTGTCTCTGTATGTCGCGGCGAAGGAGAGCAGGCAGGCCTTCCCTTCATCGATGACTACATCGCTGTAACCGAGCAAGTTGTCGACTACCTCACCGAATGGTCTGGTATATCTCCGGGCGACCTCAGCCGCGAAACCTCTCCACACGCACCAGTATCCCTGAAACACGCCTACAAGAAGCTATGGCTGCTACTCAATCTAGGATGTGTCTTCGTCGGCCATTCACTTGCCAACGACTTCCGCACCATCAACATCCATGTTCCCAAGAACCAAGTTGTCGACACAAGCAACCTATGGTTCAAACCAGACTTCAAGCGAAAACTGAACTTGAAGTTCCTGGCTTGGTGTGTACTGAAAGAGAGCATCCAAGAGGATACGCACGATTCCATCGAGGATGCGACGACGGCGCTGAAGCTGTGGAGGAAATGGCAGGAGTTTGATGATGCGGGCGTGTTGGAACAGATGTTGAACGACGTCTACGCCAAAGGCAGTCTGGTAGGATTCAAGGCGCCGGGCAGTGGAGGAAGGGCTGTCGGAAATGGTGGGCAGGGACATAGGGCTGTGAGTGGTAGCTATGGTGGGGAAGTACCGGATCCATTGACGACACCGAAGAAGGGAGGTAGCCAGTTTGGTAGTATGGGCTTCCGCAGTCCGCTCAGACGTTGAGGTATGACTTTGTGTGTAGGTAGAGATGAAATGATACTATTCGGAAATCGAATACAGATCTAACAAAGTCTTCGATATGCGGGTTTCAATCCTAAAGACTTTACTATAATACATCGATCATGCACCTCGCCAATACGCTGGATCATTGCTGTCTTCCCCATCCTGTCTCTCTTTTTCCTCTTCTTCAATGACTCTGACATCAATCGTCTTCCTTATGCCCTCCTCACCCAAAATACTCTCTTCGCTCGTGTTTCTTACATGAGTTTTGCTCGCCCTCTTTCCCGTCGATAGCACCGAGAACAACTCCATCTGATCGCGCGAAGCTTTCCGTCGTCGGGTATAAGCAGGCCTTCCACTGCCTACTGTGGGATAGTCGCTGGCGGGTCGAACGTAGGGGGACGAAGAAGATGAAGAGAAGACCTTGTTGAAGAGGGGTCGGTAGGCAGGCGCGGACGCGGAGATCATGGCTACGTTTACTTCGATCTGGGAGAGGAGGAGGATCTAAGTGGAAGTGTCAGTGGATAAGAGATTTGGATACCTTCATTGGAGAGGTACATGTGACAATGAGGAGACTTACGAAGATGTCATCGTATGGAATATCCTTGGATACGGCGAAGACGTAGAGTGCGTAGAGGCGCATGATAGAAGCTATCACTGCGATACCTCCCACCATGAAAATGCCCATAAGCGCGACTGTGCTCTCTAGTCAGTTTCGGTACCCTGCTGACTAGAATGGAGGATACGTACAGCGCTTCCGTGGGTGCATGTTAAGCTGCTTGAAGACTTTGAACGGCATGATCAAGATGACTATATCGGTGAGGATGTTCACGGACGCCATAGCGAAGTACGTCCTCGGCATATCATTGCAGCCTTCTGGGAATTTGGCCGACCACGCTCGGGACGGCTTGGTGCCGCATTCGAAAGCCTATTCTTCACAGTCAGTGGAACTGAAGGTAAAGAGTAACTTCGTCGTAAGCGCACGTTGATGAAAGTAACAGTGATGGTCTGTATGATGATAAAGCCTGCAGCATAATATATCCAGCGTCGAAAGCTGTGATGCGTGAAGATTCGATGGTACAGTGCTAATATGCTGGCTTTCACGCAGAACAGCGCCCATGGGTAGACCAGTTGGTATGCATACCTGGTTGTATGTGGAATCAGCAAAGAAATTCAAGCTGTAGCAGAGAGAGCTTGACTGACCAGTGTTTGAGAGTGGGTATCAAGAAGTGGTCGAAGTTGAGATCTTTAGATTGCCGTCTAAAAGTGTTAGCTGGTCATTATTTTGACGATGGAGTGAAGTAGGACTTACCCGGTCCCATAACTGACTTGAAAACCGTTCATGATGCCCAAGCCAATGGCTACTACCAGGGCGACGAGCATGAAGTAGTCATCCAACCCAACGCAGCGTACGAGTATAGCGCGGCAGTACAATCTGAGTGAAACTGCTATCAAAGAGAAGAAGAGTAGCACGCCGGTCGTAATGAGCATCATTGGCTGACGCGAGCCATTGTCGCTGGTGATGTAAACACCGTCGCCTGCCATGGTATTGGTCTACATGCACGTGTATGCCGGAGTTGTACTTGGGAGAAAGCATTGCCGGTGCGTGGGTATAAGACATAGTGATCAACCACGCCGCACACAGCATTGTTCATTGAGCATCTTCCCAGTAGGATGGCACGGCGGATGGTCAGATCAGATCGAAGACGAACGGAAGCCTACAAATCGCTGTAGCCAATCGCGCGCGGTCAACATGTGGCTTGCATTGATGTGTTTGTAACCGAGCGAGGCAGCACGTGGAAATTGTCATTTCGTGGATCTCCGATTACCACTTGGAAGGTTCGACCAAGCGCCACTGGAGATGAAAGTCTTGTGCAAGGGGGATTCGTGAAATGCCTGTCTTGCGAATCCTCCGGATGTATGCTTTCTTGGCGCTGCCCAGGTGGCGTAGGTACCTACCTGGACGCCCCAATCAATGCCGTAGTCAGGCATACGAAATGGCGAACGTAGTTCAGTGTGCGATGAATCGTGCTGCTACACGTATAGACAAACTCCAGTGGTGTTGATGTTGCGCGCTGTTTACAATCATCAGAGTAGGACCTCGGGAAGAAGAGAAGATCTGCCAAGCCGGCTCGAACTCCTTGGCACGCTTTTCGGTTGCGCGAACCGAATCAATCTCTCCAAAACTCGATCCTTCCCCTTCCCCGTCCATAGCGCAACAACATACACCAGGCCAGATCCGCCAAGAAAGAACGGGTGTACTATCTAAAGACGCAAATGCGGCGCAGGTCATATCGGTACCTGTTCGTGCAGTACACTACTGGCATGCGTCCCGTCTGCTGCCGTGTCTCCCGGATTTCCCATCAATCACTTCCCCCGCCATTCACATTGGAGCGCTCAAACCCAAGCTATACCCGCACCTGAGAAAAGTGGCCACTCAGAAGACGCGCGACTACGGGAGCGGGCCATTGCCGGGTGGCATTTCTGGTTAATCCGATAGTCGGACATAGTGTCTTTTACACCTGCTGTATAGCCAGCGTCTGAGACCTGCCAAGATAACAACATGTACCAATTCTTTCAATTAACCTGTATGGCAGCCAAAGACATCGGTATTCTCTCCTGCCGCGTCTCCAACGACGGCACACTCGGAGGGAATGGGCCGGAAAATACATCAACCCTAGAGTAGGCAAAAGCTCCGATGTTGCATATCATCCTGCAGGATGCTTTCGCTCTCAATCCTTGCGCCCACCGGCTGCATGCGCCCAAGTTGCCCCCGTCCCTGGAAACATCAAGTACTGGGAGATGGTTACGTCTAAAGCCAAACACACACTCAACAACGAACAACACGGTGACGTGCACACATCAGTTCAAGCTCTGTCTCTTGCAACGCTTACCTAGTCAGGGTCAAACGAAGTCCTCTGCTGGATGCAAAACTGCACACATGGCGCTTTCGGCCTTCTTACTCTCGTCTTCGACAAGTCGAGTTGATTCAGCGTTCCCGTGCTTAGCGAGTCATGTAAACAGTCGCTTCCTGAGCATCGGTATTTAATTTGCATATTCTGGACTCAACATTTGCTGTGCCACATAGGCGCATGTAGACCCTGAATCACCATGCATGCGTAGAGCCTCCTAGGCCCGGCACTCTCACCAGAATCCAACAGCTCGTACCCAAATACAGGTCCGAATTTGCTGCCCTTGTGGCCGCCTTGCAGCGTCGTACGTTAGTGCCTCGTTCTTCTCGGGGCAGTCCGAGGCTTAGATGCACGTTGAGCGGCGCTGGTGGACTGGTAGAGGGCTACATAAAAGCTTGAGACCCGTCGTTATCTGGGTGAGTAGATCGCTACAACTCACCTTACCTTCAGTCATCGATCTCGAACGCTACGGCAGATACATCGATCGCCATGGTCAAACTACAGCTCCTTGTTTCATCGTTCTGCTTGGCGTCACTGTCAACTGCAGCAGCACTTCCTCCAACCAATTCTGCCGTGTGCAAGAACCCTATCAAGCGACAGGAATGGTAAGATGGACCCACATTGGCACACGATAGAATTTCGCTAATCATGGTGACATCACAGGAGACAGCTGTCCATCCCACAGAGAAGGAACTATATCGACGCTGTTCTATGTTTGACAGCCAAGAAAGCCGTGTCAGGGATCCCTGGCGCCCTAAATCGATTCGACGATCATCAAGCCGTTCATGTCAACCAAGCCGACCATATTCATTTCGTAGGACACTTCATCCTATGGCATCGTTACTTTGTCGCAACATACGAGAAGGCTCTTCGTGAAGAGTGTGGTTATACTGGCGCTCATCCCTACTGGAACTACTCCTTGGACGCAGAGCCTCACAACCCTACCTCTACCCGCGTTTACGACTCAGAGATATTCTCTCCCGATACCGGCTTCGGCGGCAATGGAAACAAGGTTGAACCTCTCCCTGGACAAAACGAGTTTGGCATGGAGGGCGGTACGGGTGGTGGTTGCGTCCAAACCGGTCCTTTCGTGGCCTCCAAGTTCACAGTCAACTACCCCGGCCCAGCAGACTGTCTTCGACGCGACTTCATACCCGCTCTCATGAACACTTGGGCAGACCCAAAACTCGTAACGAAGCAGCTCGAAGCACCGGATTACACCACCTTCGACCGCTTGATGCAAGGTGACACCACATCTGGCGCTCCCAACATCCACGGAAGTGGCCACTTCGGTGTCGGTGGTGCGTTGGGCCAGGCTGGCAACGCTGCGAACTCTCCTGCAGAGCCGCTCTTCTACTTGCACCACGCCAATCTAGATCGCATCTTCTGGGAGTGGCAGCAACTTGATTTGAAGACTCGTCTCAACCAGGTTGGTGGACCGATCGTTCCGTTCGACTACAGCGGTCAGAACGTTACGCTGGACTACACGATCAATATTGGAAAGCTGGCGGGTGACAGGAAACTGAAAGAGCTTTTGGACACAACAGCAGGGCCGTTTTGCTACACTTACTGAAAGCATTGGGAGATACCTACCCGCTTTAGCGTGCATGAGTAACGATATACATAATAATAATAGTCTCGAAAGCCTGATCTACTCTCACCCTTAACTGACTCGTAAGTGACTGTTTGTAAGTCCTTCGCAATTGTGCAAGACCACCGTACCGGTGCCGTTCGTCGAGACTGCGTTGGTGAGGAAGACAAGATATCGCGAGACAAGGGTGGGGTAACACTAGCGGCTCACCCTAGCGTCGTCTTGCAAACCTAGGGAAGGAGCTCTCATCCAACAACTGCCTTCACACCAGCTACACGAAACCACCTGGTTTTGGTCCCAACACTCACTATCAATATACCTTAGTTCTCAATGCCCTTGGAAATCGAATACTCAGCTTACTGTCCACTGCTACAATTGCAACATTGAATGACTTGATAGATGTCTTTGAAGCCATGCGACACCTGAACTCAAGCATCAAACAATTGCGTAGCTCTGGGGTTTCGACGTCACATGGTCTACAGCAAAGGGTACGAACGACAATGCGACTAAAATAAAAGCCCACCATCTATACACAACAATACCCGCTACGCATGCTCGTGTCTGAGCTCAAGTGCAGCATCTAGCCATGTCCAACACACACACATACGAGCCCCTCTCCGAGCGCCATATCAGGCTCCTCAAACTTCCCGAGACCGCGCGGCCTATCCAAGAGCCTGATATCATTGAAGTATCTTTGGAAGCCGCGCCTCCATACGAGACGATCTCCTATGTATGGGGCGAGCAAGATAAATCTTGTGTCTTTGAGTTGGGCTCGGGGAAGTCGGTTCTCATCACGCCTACATTGCGCACTACACTCACGCGAATACGGCTTCATTGCCAAACCGGCTATCTTTGGGTTGATCAGGTACGGCAATACACTACCTAGCAGATGGAGGTGCCATACTGACTTTGTTGCGACGCCCGCAGTTATGTGTCGACCAAACAAGCATTCCCGACCGTAACCAGCAAGTATCTCTCATGGGCGAAATATACAGCCGATGCCAACGCGTCTTAATCTGGCTCGGGCAAGAGACACCCTCCACCTCATACATGTCCTACTACCTATCCCCCACGCCCCCTCCCGAAATCCAACAAAAAACCAAACACACACCCTCATCAGCATCCCTTGTATCAAAACCC